CATTTGATAAAATCTAGCACCCATTTATGATTAAAAAAAAAAACACTCATCAACGTGGGAATAGAGGGACAATCCCGCAACATAATAAGGCCATATATGACAAGCCCACAGCCACATCATACTCAGTGGGCAAAAACTAAAAACATTTCCTTAAGATCAGAAACAAGACAAGGATGTCTGTTTTCACGATTCTTATTCAACGTAGTGGAAGTCCTAGCCACAGCCATCAGACAGGAAGAAGAAATAAAAGGCATCCAAATTGGAAAGGAAGAAGTAAAACAGTCATTCTTGCATGACATGATACTGTATATTGAAAACCCTAAAGACCACCAAAAAACTACTAGAACTGATAAGTGAATTCTGTAAAGTAACCCAATACAAAATTAACATTCAGAAATTGGTGGCATTTTTATATACTAATAATGAACTATCAGAAAGAGAAATTAAGAAGACAATCTCATTTACTATTGCAACAACAACAAAATAAGATACCAAGGAATAAATTTAACCAAGCAGGTAAAAGACCTGTATGTGAAAAATTATAGGATACTGAAGAAAGAAATTGAGGAAGATACAAGTACAAGCATACACTGCATTAATGGATAGCAAGAATTAACATCATTAGGATATCCATACTACCGAAAGCAATTTGCAGATTCAATGCAACTAATATCAAGATACCAATTACGTATTTCACAGAACTAGAACAAATATTCCAAAAATTTATATGGAACCAAAAAGATCCTTAATAGCCTCAGCAATCTTGAGAAAGAAGAACAAAGTTGGAGGTATCGCAATACCTAATATCAAACTATACTAGAATGCCATTGTAATCAAAACCCCCTAATACTGGCATAAGAATAGACATATAGATCAATGGAACAGAAGAGAGAACCCAGAAGTAAACCCACACCTATATGGTCAATTAATAAATGACAGAGGAGGCAAGAAAATTCAATGGGATAGGCAGTCTCTTCAATAAATGGTGCTGGGAAAATTGGACAGATACATGCAAAAAAGTGAAACTACACTACCTTCTAATACCATACACAAGAATAAACTCAAAATAGATAAAAGACCACAAAACCAAAAAAAAAAAAATCATAGAAGAAAACATAGGCAATAAAATCTCAGACATCTTTGGTAGCAATATTTTTTCTGCTATATCACCTTGGGCAAGGGAAACAAAGGGAAATAATAAACAAATGGAACTCCATCTGGTCAGCTTTACTTAAGCTCATTAGTTCATTCTTCATCTCTTTTATTGAGTTCTTCACCTCCAGAATTTCTATTTGGTTCATTTTTAAGGTTTCAATCTCTTTGGGAAAGTACTCCTTTTGTTCTCTGATTTTATTTCTGAATTCATTAAACTGCCTATTTGTGTTTTCTTATATTTCATTGAGTTTTTTGGCAATCTTGAATTGCAATCTTGAATTCTCTGTCATTTAAATCACATATTTTCATGTCTTTAAGTTTATTTTCTGGAGATTTTTTTATTTTCTTTCTGAGCTGCCTCATTACCTTGCTTATTCATGGAATTTGATGGATTATTTCTCTGCCTAAGCATCTATGAAAATGAAATCTGCTCTTTTTTTTTTTTAATGTAAAGAGTGGCATTTCTCTGTTTATTAGGTTGATAAGAAGTCTTTCTTTTCTTTTCCAGTAGGTGGCTCTAAAGTGCAAGGTTCTTACTTTCTCTTGCACTGGATCTCTGAAGGGTGGTCGAAAATGCCTTGTATTCCCTGGGGAGCTGGGTTTCTCCTCTGTGGCCAAGTCGCCTCAGCCTCAGGGCTCCACTCCTGTGGGGGAATGTAGTGGGCGATGAGGCTCTGAACCTGTAAGATCCCAGCACTGTCTCCTGTAGCAGACACTGCCAGCAATCCAGCCGCCTTGGGTGGGGGTGGGATGAGCTGGAAGAGGCCAGCTGGTTCCTTTGTGGCTTTGTTCTCCTCCCAGGAGTGGTAAATGCCAGACCTCAGCAGCCTCACCTCTGTATCTTCACCCCTGCCACTGGGATTAGCCACAGTGTGCCCCGCTGCAACTCAGGGAAAAATACTTCTGCCTCTCTAATTCTCAGGCTGCAGATAATGTGCTCTGTAGCCTGACACTGACTGCTACCACTCTGGGGCCTGCTGGTAGCTCTGGAAGGGGGATGAGAGGGGGAGTTCTGGGAAGGTAGGGAGAGAGGGCCAGGTTCTATGGCTTTCTTTTAGTGCCTGGCAATGGCAGCCCCCAGACAACCTTGGCTGCACCTCTGTGCTCTGTTTCTGCCCAGGTCACTGGGTTCATCCACAGCACCTACTGAATGCTCCTGCAGGAATGCTCACTGTATTTGTCTGAAGCTCTGGGATGAAGGGAGTTCCAGAAATAACCTGACTCCTTCCCTCTCCCAAGACCCAGAGAGTGTTCCAAGCTACATCAGTAGCACCTGTCTTAGCTCTTCTCCCTTCCCTCCTCCCCTGCTCACTCCGATGCACCTATTACCCATCCCTATTACCCATCGATAGATGTTTTAATGCACAGATCTCTCAGATGTGTTGTGTATAGAACAGGGAATCCTTTGTTCAATTATAGCTGTCAAACTTGTTGAAACTATAAGGGGTACATCTCACACAGCCATTCCTGTGACAACTCTGAGTTTGCTTTATAGCAATACTCTTCTAGTATGTTAAAAGTCTTCAAAGTTGTTTCCTTATTTTCTGGGAATTTTAGGGATATTCTGTTTAGCTAGGCACTGATTTAGTTATTTAATTAATGTTTAAGTTATTAATTTTAGAGGAAGAAGAAGAGAGAGAGAAACATTGATTTCTTGTTCTGCTTATCTATGTGTTCATTGGTTGTTTCTTGTATGTACCCTACTGGGATCAAACCACAACCATGGCATATTGGGATGACATTCTAACCAACTGAGCTACCCAGGCATGACTATTTATTTGTTTAAATCAATGATAACTGAGCTCCTTTAATTTAAGAAAATTTTAGGAAGATATTACACACAAAGGCCTTTCTGAATTCCAGACATCATCATCATTATCATTATTCAGGCTACTGCCATAGGGAAAATGTCCATTAATTAGAAGCATCTCAAAGAAAAGGAAAGGATCCAGGAGTTTTATAGAGGCAGGTAAACAAGGAAGTCATCCATGAGTCTTATGGGAATAATGAGGAAGCATGAAGATGGTTCTTCCCTTGCAATATGCCAGGGCAATGTGGTCCTTTGCAGTTAATTACTCTCAAAACACTAAGGGGGGAGGGGCTTCTTAACCATTACTGATTTCTAGGTGTGTGATTTCTAGATTTCTAGAAGGCTTATAAAAGTTCAGTACTGTAACGAGATGACTCTGCTTTGTCAATTTTGTCTATAGAATTTCTCTGTATTCTTTATATGCCATATTACTTCTGCCTGCCTTTTGTGGGGTTTTTTTTTGTTTTTTATTTTATTTTTTTTGTTTTTCCTGTGCTTATGACTTATCTCCATAATTTAATTATAGGTTCTGTGAGGGAAGGAAGTATGTCTTGTAATGATATCTATTTCTCCTCCTCCTCATCTCCCTCCTCTTTTTGCCTAACACTTAATATTCCATTCCACCTACACAAAAGTTATTGATGTTCAGTAGGAAGACAAATTATTTCTTTTTTGATGTGCTAAGACAGTAGACTTATAAAATGTGAGCTTTTCAGAATTGGGAAATAGCAGCCAAGAACTTTCAAAGTCACATATTTAACCCTTATTTACAGAAAACTCATGGATGAACAAATCTTTTTCTCTAACTGGTTTCTTCCTGGTTGCACACCTAAGGCCAAGCTATTCTTTTGGTAGATGAGCACTGAGTTCACCTTAATGTGCAAAATCAATGTCTAGTGATTTTTTTTTTACTATCTTCCTGCTCACCAATATACCTGTCTCATTGATTCAGCCTATATACCAGGTCATTGTTCAGGATATGAAACATTATACTAAAAGAGATTTCATGAAGCTTATGCATTGTGTAGGTAGGCACTAGAAAGAGCTTGCAATCTCGTAGTAGTAAAGATGCCATTTGAAATGATGCTCATGCCTAGAATTCCATTTCAAGTAAAGTAGGGAGACATTGCGGGGAGGGGATGGGCTGGATATTTGAGATAAGTGGAAACAAAAGAAACTGAAACATTTAGGATGAGGCCCTGAGGACAAATTATAATATACTTCTGATGATAAAAATAATCTTTTATATATATTCAACAGGATTAATGGAAGCATGATAAAAGAGTAGGTTAATGTTTACAAGAGGTTAAAGTAACACAATATTACCAATAGCAAAAAAGTTAAAGGACACCAGTACTGTCAATGAAGACAACTTTAGTGAAGGAAACAAAATAACTTTAGAAAAGGCTGCTTCAGTCTCCACTGTAATAATTACATTTACAGAAAGGTAACCACATTATGCTGCCCGGGAGGCTATACGTTTGTACATTCTACACTTAGCTTTTATGAGCAAGAAGGGCCAAGACTTACTCAAAAAAAAAAAAACCCAAAAAACAAAAAACTTTAGGTTATGTCATAGCACCAGTACAGAGGATTCAGTCTCCAACATCTTCTACATCTGGCTGAGCAAGATTGTCTTTAATGCCCCCTCTAGATTCTAGCTTTCTTAAAGTCCTATAAATGATAATCAGTGTTCATTATGATGACTCTAGGGTACCACAATTTTTTAATGATTCCCGAATAATTGGAGAAAGGTTCTGTTTTGTTGAATATAGTTATAATAGTCTAATTCTTTGAAAATCTGGGATTCTGAATGGAAAATGTTATCAATCAACCTGAATATTTAGTTTACCAAAACACTTCATTCCCTGATCATTCTGAGGTATTTACTATACAATCTTTGTAGGTAGATTTTTGTTTTTCTAAAAAGAAGGGGGAATTGTAAGGGAATAGATCTCAAGGGTTAGATCCTTGGCTGTAAAGACTCCCTTGGATTGTTTTTGGCTGTTGGCTGTAGCAACTTATTTTCTTGCAGAGATGAAGCATCTGGTTTTTGTTATCTCAATGATGTTGTCCTGGGAATATTACGATTGCGACGGAAATTTGACCGTATTCTCTATGTGGATTTGGATCTGCACCATGGAGATGGTAAGCCCTTCACTTTCAAGAGTGCTTCGCTGCTAGGACGACAGGTTTTTATCAGTGCAGCTGGTAGAAGGAGAAATACCTGTTGCAATTGAAATTTTCCTAATTGAGAATCCTGAAATAAGCAGAGTACAGATTCTTTTAACTGATGCAATTCCTCCTTTGCTGATGAAGTTACTTTAGAATACCAGGTTCTTATAATTTCTCCTCTACTCTCCTCCAGTAGCAAAGCTTCCCTGCAGAGAATGTTAAGAAGTGGAAATCTTACCTAGTGTTTACTCCAGTGCTCAGTAACCTCCCTCAGGACACTTCCCTATGTTCTCAGTGAAATCTGCAGTTAGAGCTGACAGTCTTGATGCTTCTGTCAATATTAGAATGGGTGCATGAAGACATAACATCTGGAATTTTTCACCAATAGGGATACTAACTCAGCAATCGAAATCTGTGCTGCTTTCTTTGTATTGCTAAAATATTTAGTCCTGCCCAAACCCAGGGCAGCTTCTCCAACTTTCAATAGCAGCAGAATCTTTAAGAATTTGCCTGAACTCCATTCATTTCCCCTAAGAACACTGCATTGAAAGGATGTATCCAACCCTCCTACATACTTGTCATGTACCATGTAGAGTTTCAGCAACAGTTACACATGTTCTGTTTCTTTAACGAATTCTGTGGGTAGTACGTATTTCCATTGATCTAGAAATACTTTACCCAGTAAAATAGTTAAGGTTTTTGCTCTCCTCCCCTACCTCAGGGATTGCTACTTCCCTGTTTCTAGGGATTTTGGATACAAACTAATATAATTGAGGCATAAAAAGAAAAAAGAAAAAAACAGAAGTTAGGGTCAGCTCTGCTGCCCAAATGAAAAAGAGGAAACTGTGAGAGAAACCTCCCCAGGGAGTTCACCTGGATGGATGCTACCATGCAATGATGACAGAAAATTAAAGGTAACAGAGAAAGAGAGAAGGGTTAAAACAACGAACATACTACTTTGAGAACAATGTCCACTGAACATCTGAATACTCAGCCAATGCAAAACACAGCCTTGCTCATAAAACTTCAGAGGCTACTTGTCACCTATAACAAGGATAACATTTGGACCATGGCTTGTTTTTGTATGGCCAATGAGCTTAGAATGATTTTTTACATTTTTACAAGTTTGTAAAGGGAGAAAATGCAATAGAGGCCATGTAGTTTGGAAAGCCTCAAATATTGGGTTGGCCAAAAAGTTGTTTGGGTTTTTTCTGTAAGATGGCTCTAGTAGTATTTAGTTGTCCTTAACTTCATTTGAAACAATTTTGTTAGATTGTATTGTGACAGCTGTCATATCAGCATGCATTTAAAAAAGCTTATCAAAGTTGGTGAATTTGTATGTAGCCATTTTAATATTGAAGATGGAAGAAAATACGCCACATTTTTGGCATATTATGCTTTATGGTTTCAAGAAAGGTAAAAATGCAGCTGAAATGCAAAAAAAAAAAAGGAAAAGATTTGTGCAGTGTATGGAGAAGGTGCTATGACTGACAGAACGTGTCAAAAACAGTTTGCAAAGCTTCATGCTGGAGATTTCTCTCTGGACGATGCTCCATGGTTGGGTAGACCAATTGAAGTTGATAGTGAAGAAACTGAGACATTAATTGAAAACAATCACCATGTGAGAGATAGCCAACATACTCAAAATATCCAAATTGATAGTTATTGGTGAAAATGAAAAAGGTCTTTTATTTTACGGAAAAAACTAAATGGACTTTCTGGCCAACCCAGTATTTACTAGGTAGTCACTTGGTTCGCTATCCCTTGGCCAAAAGCAGTGGTTCTGAAATGCAAATGTATATCAAGGTGACCTGGGGAAGCTGGTGTTAAAATACAGATTCCTGGGCCACATTCACCAGATACTCAGATTTAGTGGGTCTGGAATGGAACTTGGGAATCCACATTTTAACAACACCCCAGTTGTTCTATAGACCATACTTTGAAAAACAGTGGTCTCCATGGTCAAGTCCACACTTTTTACCCTGTCTTTCGAGGCCTGCCTCAAAGAGGCCTCACCTCCTCTCTCCAGCCTTCTCTCTCATAATTTGCTGTCTGCTACTCAGTGATCACCAAACATGTCTCACTGTGCCAACCTCCCTGATTTAGCATCACTTTTTCCTTAGTTTTGTTTCCTCCTCCTCTTTTGCATCTCCAAGCTCTACCCAGAAGCTCAAGTTTCAACAATAGCAGATTTGCCCTGACCACTGCAGCCCAAGTGTTCTCTCCCCTGCTCAACTGTATCGTTTATTTTGCTGATTTAATATTTAATTTTATATTGTTTTATATTGTTAATTCTCTCTCTCATCTATGTCTTCTCCTCTCATAGAAAAGTCCATTTCCTCCAGGACAGAGATCAAGTTGTTTACTTTTTTCTGTTGTGAGCAATGACTTGAGCAAACAGAACTATGCACACATTATAGTAGAGGTTCAGCGAAATATTTGTTGAATGAATGAATGATTATGAAATTCAAACTATTAGTATCAGAGTTTAAGAATAGCCATCAACTCTATTGAACCATGTAAGAATGAAATAAGACTGTCACCTGAAACCGTTTTTTCCATTTGCAATGTTATTTCTACACCATTTAGAGTTTCCTGTTTTAGCCCACTTTTATGGTGTGTTTCATTTCAGTTTATTTCCCCTCTTCAGCACCTCCCTTCCAGTGACCCCTGCCCCACCTCCAAATTCTTACACATTCGGTTTATTTTAAATCCTCCCATGATTCCATAACTAGCATTCTGTGATGGCTTCACTAGCACTCCTACCTGTCCTCACCTTCTTTTGTCTACTACCTACCACTCTTCCCATTCACTCCAAACCCCATACCCTCCACTTCTCAGTCTATGAAAAGTAGAATTTTCTAACAATGCCTAATGGCATTTCCTGTGAGAAGAGATACAAATGACTACTGAACATATGAAAAAGTGCCCAAGGCCCTAATACTAAGAGAAATGCAAATTAGAACAAGACCATTCTTTCTGTGAAAGATTAAAAAGAATAATAACACCCAGTGTTAGTCAGGGTGTGAAAAATGGGAACTCTCTGACCCCATTGGTAGAAGTGTAAATTGGTACCACCTTTCTGGATGGATAAATAATCAGGATTTTCTGGAAGTATAAATAATTATACTTCAGTTTCTAAGTTAAAAATGCTATTTTAATTTATTTTGTTTTGTTTTATTTTGTTTACTTAATGCTTTGTGCCCGGAGCCTTTAACTGATTCTAACTGCCTCCTTAGGGTAGAACATAAGGCTTGGGAAATTCAAACATACTTGTGATATACAAATAGAGTTAATATTTTTTTAAGGTCACTGTCAGCCTCTAATGAAGACTGAATGCATTAAGTAAACACAGAGACAATTTCTTTATTTAAAGTAGAAAAGAGTATAGTGCATGAATTTGCTAATGATAGTCCTTCCATTTTACAGAGGGATTATTGGGCAGTATGTGATTCAGGGAAGAAAGGTGTGGAGGTGGCCAGTGTGTTTATCTGAATAAGTAGTGGCTTATAAGAGTTACATGTTCTATCTCCAAGGCCTCTCTTCATTTTCTGACTTTGTTTAAATGGAAAGGAGACTCAGTTCTAGAAAAGCGTCCCCCCTCCCCAATCTATTTCCAAGCTGCTATTAAGGGACAAGGCCAGGGCTACTTTCAGCCTTCTATGTTTTAGCCAGAAAGATGTACTGTAGGTTACTTAGTACAGACTTTGGGAGAACTGCATTTATAACCAAATCTGTGTCTTAGGCAATTGACAATTGAGTTTTCACTGTATAATGCCTTATATTGGTATTGGTCAGGTTTTTAAAGGGTTGCCACATTGTAATTATTTTGTACACTATCCTAATAATTTAACTAGAACCACAGAAGCAAAACAAAACATACAACTTCCAAGATAGTGCCAATTTCCCTATTCAGCTCTGTTGATAATGCCTCAGTTCTGAGCTCAAGTCCTTCCCCACCTTTTTGAACAGGTTGTCAAAAACAGCCTGGACATCCCACTGCTTGGAAAGGGGAAGTCCAGTTATAATTTTCCCTGAATTTGAAAAGGAACCCCATCCTGTAATGACAGAGATCAAAGACCAAAGGGTTTTCTTACTTTGTTCCTCAGCTTGTTAGCTTTATTATTGCTACCTTCTTGTCTCTCTTCCTTCCCACAGCTGCTTTCTAAAGTTTCAGTTGTTGAAAACAAGAGTTGCATATCTGAAGTGATTCTTGTTTCTTTCTCTGGTAGGTGTAGAAGATGCTTTCAGTTTCACCTCCAAAGTCATGACGGTGTCCCTGCACAAATTCTCCCCGGGATTTTTCCCAGGCAAGTGGTCTGTGTGCTCAGTATTATATCTAAGGAATAAATATTGCAATTGGTCTATGCATTTCTTATATCTTATATTTGGATAGCTCCATGCTATACCTTATTGGTGCTACTTTATGCAAAAAATTTAACACAGGTCATTTCGGGTGACAATGATAAGAGGAATATAATGCTGCTTCTTATTCCAGATGGATTTTATGGACTGTCAATAGATAGCCCACTTACACTTACTGTACTATCAGATACCCTGTGTAACTCCCAAAACCCCAATAATTACAATGATATATTCATATTATGTCAACCTCAGTAACTGTGTACAGAGAGTCAAACACAGGAGTTAATCTCTTTCCAGCCAGTTGGAATCTGAGGTTTTTTCATTTTCTTATTATTTTTCTGCTTCCCCAACATTGTTTACAACAGTCACTTCTCCGTATTATCTTCTTCATTTCATTCCCTCAGAAACCATCACAGAATGGTGCTCCTAATTGGCCTTTGGTCTTCTGAACTCCTATCAGAGAATCCTTCAAGTTTTCTAATTCTCATGTTCTTAAAACTGCTCATTGGTGCCCCTCTCTTTCACAGGAACAGGTGATATGTCTGATGTTGGCCTAGGGAAGGGACGGTACTACAGTGTGAATGTGCCCATTCAAGATGGCATACAGGATGAGAAGTATTACCACATCTATGAAAGGTATGGCAGCGACGCTGAGCCAGTAACAGGCAGATTACATTTCTGTGAGATGAAATGGCCCCAATATCACAGAATTCTTGTTTTCAAAGAACAGTTTGTGGGGGGAAAGGTACTGTCTACTTACATAGCTTTTGTATACTATTCATTGTGTTTATTTGATCAGGTAACCATCGCTTGGGAGAGCCTTTTTGGTTTTCCATTACGGCGATCTGCTTCTGTCCACTAGTGTGAATATTAGAGAGCTCTTTAATGTGAGTTCTGGAGATCTATCCATTATGTTAAAATTGGGGTCAGAAACCTCTTATTTTTATGTTATGGTTATTGTATTAAATTACAGCCACTTGTAGGCCAACAGTTTGTTGCCAACGTGTAGATCATTGGGGCTGGAAAGCCCTACAGAACATAGGGGAGACTGTACTCATATTCATAGAAATTGATATTGGTCAGGTATAAATTCACTGCTGACATTGGCAGCAGAGCAAGTGAGTCTGACTAGAAGTCAGCACGTGAATGTTATTGAAGGTAAGTAATGCGATTGAGATGCTTTTGATCCTTCCCTCACTTGGCTCAGACTTCTTTCAACTTCTTATAGAAACAGTGACTTCCCAAAGGAGCCTGCACTGGTCATCATCACTGGCAGTTGTATAAACAAAGGAGAAGTATTAAAAAAAATTTTTTTTAACTTTATGTTTCACCCTGGCTGGTGTGGCTCAGTGGGTTGGGCATCATCCTGCAAAGAGAAAGGTTGCCAGTTTGATTCCCAATCAGGGCACATGCCTGGGTTGCAGGCCAGATCTCCAGTAGGGGGTGCGTGAGAAGCAGCCATACATTGATGTTTCTCTCCCTCTCTTTCTCCCTCCCTTCCCTTCTCTCTAAAAATAAATGAAAATATTTTTTTAAATAAAATAAATAAAAAGAAAAACCACTGTGATTTTGGAGTTATGACTATCAACAGTATTTTAAGGTAGCTGCAATAACTATGAAATCTGTGATTTCTATTGATGATGAAGTCACAGGTACTGCTAACACATCTGCAGTGTGTTGCCTACATTCAAACATCTGAATTCTATCCATGAATGCCAGTTTTAAAATCTCTGCCTTAGAGTCTGTTCGAATAATTTCCCATGTGCATTTATTCCAACCCCCTCCCCCCAATTGCCAGAATACATATTCAAAGAACCATTTTGTTTTTCAGTGAGAAAGTCATACACCTCGGAATAATGGGCATATATTCTGAGAAATGGGTTGTTAGGCAGTTCCGTTGTTGCATGAACGTCACAGCGCACTTGCACAAGCCTAGGTGGTACAGCCTACACCTAGGCTGTATGGTACATAGTACCGCTCCTACACTACAAACCTGGACAGCACATTACGGAACTGAATAGTGTAGGCAACACATGGTAGAGTACAATTATGGTATAAAACATATAGAATGGCCCTGACCAGTGTGGCTCAGTTGGGCGTTGTATTGCAAGGATACATGTCTGGGTTGCATCTTTAGTCCCTGGTCAGGGCACGTACAAGAGGCATCCAAGGAGTACACACTGTGTGCAAGACGTACACATTGCAGGGAAGGAAATAATAACATTAAGCATTGCCCTACCTGGTGTGGCTCAGTGGATTGAGTATCCACCTGTGAACCAAAAGGTTTCCAGTTTGATTCCCAGTCAGGACACAGGCCTGGGTTGCAGGCCAGGTCCCCAGGTGGGGGTGAGCAAGAGGTAACCAATCAATGTTTCTTTCCCTCTCTTTCTCCCTCCCTTCCCTTTCTTTAAAAATAAATAAAATCTGTTAAAAAAAAAAACAACTTTGTTTCAGAGGTGCCTCTTAGCTATACCCTCTTCATAATTTTGATCATATCCACTGGCTACTTCTGTATTGTCAGACTGAAAAGGCCTTTTTGTTTTTGGAGCCTGCCATTGATGGTCTTAATTGCCCTTCATGTTCACCTTAGCCTCTGTTCTATCCTTGAGACGTGCAAATCAGAGCTGCTTATAAAACTTTACTGATAAAGATGTCCTGTGGTTTCTGTGTAAAAGGAGAATTATTTTGTTTTTCTCTTACTCCCCTTCTTGACAGTCCCAACATTTTGCTACTTTTTTTTTTTTTTGCCATAACAGGAAACTACGTTGTTCTTTTCACTGCTCTGTGCATAAGGTCTTCTAGAGTTCTTTCCTGGGTCTTAATTGAAAGGTCAGCACCCATCATCCTGCAAGAGTAGTTTATACTCTCTGGCCTTCCCTAAATGGATTACCTTACACGTGCCCCTGTTGAAGCTAATCTGCCAATTATAAAAGTTCCTGAGACCTTCCTTTAGCCCCCATCAATTTGGCACTTCACTGCCTGGAAACGCTGAGAATCATCTGCAGACTTAAGGATTTCCCAGTGCCTACCCCCAAGGAAGTCCACTATTTACCCTTATTCAGTCACAGAAATGTCTGTTTCTCCCCTATATTTTTCTCTCTCTCTAAACGAGTTCCTACTGTGTAAGAAAAAAATATTTTAAACTCCCTGAGAATTCACATTTAAAAATAGCCTTGGTATCAAAATTAATTAGAAGCATTGTAAAAGTGAGTCTAGCCCCAAGGAAAAGATCCATGGGAGATCACACATGATCTCTTTCCAGAAACCCTGTTACTACCCCCACCCCAGTGTACAGGAGGCCAGCACTTATTAAAGAATCTTCCAGCTTGCCTACTAAAGTACCAGACACTCATCAGTTTATAGTTCCCAGGGCCCCTTTTGCCTGCGGAGCCACACCAGCAATCTGCACAGTGACCATCCAGGATAACAGGTTCCAGGTTTTCATTAGAGGTACAATAATTTTTCCCTTTGATTTCTTTCAGAAGTCAAGTCTGGTCAGGGTGTTATGTGAAGGCACCTCTGATTCCAAGGGTGCCAGGGAGGCTTCCTGACCCAAACATCTCTCCCATCTGTTGGACTAATATCTGAAATTCCTTTAACAGGAAACATACTTTTACTCTACAATTAGAAATAGGCCTTAAAATGGGATTTTGGTACAACTCCTCCTCCTCACCCACTCTCTGCCATTAGATGGTTGGTTCTCACAGCACTTCTCTTGATGGCAGGTTTTTAAAGGGTTAGAGCTGGAGTGCCCTGAGCATTCAGAGGAGCAGGAATTGGGTGACAGAGCAGAAGAGGGAAAGGGAAACAAAAACAAAACAATCTTTGCAAACTAAATAGTTTTGCAGAGGGTGAACCCTGGTAACTATTATCACTTAGTTCCAGTCATTACCCTTGTAACTACTTCTAGTTTGTTGTTTGGAACCAGAGTCTCTTGCACATTTGCCATTATGACCTCTGACCCATCTGCCTACCTCAAAAGATACAGCAGACATAGGAATGGCTTACTCATGTAAAAATAAGTCATTTGTTTTATCTGCTATTTTCTTTTCATCTCTTTTGTTCCATGAGCCCACTGTTTGTTTGTTTTTTTTAGATCACTCCTTACCTGAGATAAATAAAGGACCTCTTTATTGCCAGTTCACTTACAAGATGCTCTAATTTTTGTTTAGCACGCAATTTCTACTTTGCTTCTTGTAACTGCCTCTCCTCTTGGGATTCACGAATGCTTTTTCTCTCCCTTCTTCCTTTCTACCCTCCCTCCCTCTCTCCTCACCCTCCCTCCATCTCTCCTCATCCTCCCGTCCTCCCTTCCTCCCTTCCTCCCTTCCTTCCTTCTCTCAAAGTTTTTCCTCTGCTATATAGCCTTTTTGACTGCTAGCTAGTCAGGCAAGGAACTTAATGATTTCATCTTAAAGTTGAACATACTGAGTTGACCAAAAAGTTCATTAAGTTTGTCCATATGATGGCTCTCATAGCGCTTAGTTGTCTTTAACTTCATTCAAAACAATTTTCTTACATTGTATTGTGACAGCTGTCATATCAATGTGCATTAAAAAAAACATCAAAATTGGTGAGTTTTGGTGCAGCCATTTTAATATTGAAGGTGGAAGGACATATGCAACATTTTCAGCATATTGTACTTTATTATATCAAGAAAGGTAAAAGCACAACTGAAACACACACAAAAAAAGATTTGTGCAGTGTGTGGAGAAGGTGCTGTGACTGATCAAACGTGTCAAAAGTGGTTTGCAAAGTTTTTTTTGCACTATTGACATTTTGGCCAAATAATCCTTTGCCATGCGGCTGTCTTATGCATTGGAAAATGTCTAGCAGCACCCCTGGCCTCTACCCACTAGAAGCCAGTAGCAAGAGAGAGCCAACATACTCAAAATGTCCAAATCAATAAAGTTATTGGTGAAAATGAAAAATGTGTCTTTTATTATTTGACGGGGGAAAAAAAAAAACTAAATGGACTTTTGGCCAACCCAATACTGTCTTTATTTTAAAAATAGCTTAGAGTTTCTTTTTTTAATAGGCCAGATATGGAATCTTTGCATGAATGTTTTAAACACCAAAAGACCTTGGGTTCCATTTTATGTAAAAGACAATTTCACAGTCAGAGCTTCCTATATCATGCAATACTGATTAAAACGGTAAGGGTCACTGATTCCCCAATGCTTCCCATAGTTTCCACGTGAGCTACTAGTGTTGGTGTCACAAGTCAAGCCCTGTTTTAACTAACATAAAGGAACATCAACATTGTTCTTCAAAGCATACCTCCTCCTTCAAATAGAAGCTATGGCCCCAGTATAGAGATGATAGAGCTATATTGTATTCGTGGTTTACAAGGAAGCCCACACCCCATCTCAGCCTCATACACATAAACACACAAAGTTTTATGTCAGAAGAAGGCTATTTTGCTTGAGGGAGTGTTAGCTCTTTCCCAAGCTTTGTTATCTGAAAGAGGAAATACTACTTTACCTATTTTTAACCTGTTTGCTCTCTAATTGTATTTAAATGTAGTGTGAGATAGTCTTAAATGGTTAAACTATCACCTAAAAGGCGGTGCTGATGACTTCGGCAGTGTTTATAATCAAGGACTGTGGGAGAGGACAATGGCAAGTATTGTGTTG